AATTGCTCATAACTTTTATAACCAAAACAATTACCTAATAATTTGCTATTTTAAACTTTACCAAAGGCCTATATTTTAAAGTTATCTGATTAATGATCAGGTGTTGTAACAGGAAGTTTATGGTGATCTGGCCAATCACATGAACAGTGAGGCGCTGGGTAGGGGGCGGGGTAGAGATACCATGCTCACTCGGTTTGCTCCTTCCCGTATTGCCGGCGCATGACCCGGGACAAAATGACGACAAGCTGCGAGGGAGGAATCATCACCTAAAACGAGTAGAGCCCGAAGTATGTGCACTATTATATGGTCAGTTTATGAAGCGCAAAAAAGTGTCTCCTCACTGCATTTTAGCTGAGTAATCGGTATGTGTATCTTGATGTGTGTAAATCCCGCCTTTTCATTGCGCCGCTTCGTACACGGGTGAATAATTGGTGTAGACCTAGTCTTCCCAGTAGCTTCTCCTCAGCCTTTAGCCACGTTAGCCTCGTCAGGAGCTTGTAGTTGACCAGCGTTTTACACCCTGCTGGACGCACTGAGACACTGGATACGTGCTAATTTTTTTCACTACAAGACCAGGCAACTAATGAATGGAGATTTTTTTAGTATGGCAAAAATCAGTGGAGATGTACATTAAGCTGCTCTGGACAACCTGACTGCCCAGTCTTATCGGCTGACAGCTGTCACATAGCTGACTAGCTTGGAGAGCTAAGGCTAGCTGCAGTTATTTTTTAGCTCCCACAGTCTGGACAAGTTTGTCAGCCGGTGTGTAAGTAGGGACAAAGCGACAACTTCTGAAAGACGCTTGTCTCCTGCTCAAATCATGAGTTAGCTTAGGTAAGGAAATGCGAGCAGCAGTAATAATAATATTGGAGGTCCGGCTAGTTTAGCTTGTTTTATAGCTTTCATTCAATGTTAAAAAAGAAGCTGCTGAAGCCATACCACCGGTACCTCAGTGATTAAAGGCAGAACGTAACAAACAGTAACCTTTGTTTTAACACTGATTCGTTTTGGACTTTGGCCGGCTCTGGATATCAGGTGGAAATGAAGAAATTTTTTGATACACGTCGGGAGTTTGCGGGGTCTGGGCCTGGTTCTGGAGCCGGTGGAGGAGGCGCAGGTTCCGGCGGCGGTGTCAGTTTCATCGGCCGGGTCTTCAGCATCGGACGATATCAAGTGACTGTGGAGGAAATTATCGCCGAAGGTGAAATATGACTTTTCTGTGCATTACACACTTGAGTCCCTGAACGACAAGTTAGACAGTGAACTAGTGTCATGGTTGGTCCTACTTCCGGTCCAAACAGAAAACGCAACAACAACATGCTTATTTATTATGGTTTTTACCTGGAAAGGTATTGATGGTCCAGGTTACTGACTGGCTCAGGATCTTATTGCTGTTGTCAGGGACCCCCCCACCAACTTTTCACACTCTTTGTGTAGTAGAATCAGCAAGACTGAAAACATGCACCATATAGTTGGGTTGTTCAACAATAAATATGTTTTTTAATCTGCTTTGCGATATATTTGCTTCTCCAGTTTTGAGGGCTGTGAGGAATATGTCTGACTGGATTCACCATGGGAAATCACATGTAGTTGCCAAATTGAGTCATCTTGGTATTTACAGAGAGAGTTGCACAACAAATGTAGATTTCAGATCTAATGTTCAAATTTGGGATTGTTTAATTTTTGTCAAAATGTGACATTTTAAAGACGCATTCTGTCACAGGAGTCACATTAAGTTACCACGTGGCAAACATTAATGTCACAACTTTTCTGTGATAAAACAAGCCTGTAGGTCAGTCCTAATCAATAATTTTAAAGATATGTGTTAGAAACCATAACTTCTAAGGATATTTAAGCAAATTTCCCATGCTAATTAGCCATTGCAATGAGAGTCTGCTGTGCTCTGTGAGCTAGGAGGGTATGTTACTAAATAAATAATGAAACAAGACTAAGTAATTTATCAGTACTTTCCTATAAGTGAACCTTGTCTGTTTGGACACATTCAGACTTTATGAACAGCATGGCAAACTTTAGGAGTGTCCAGTATGGTTAGAGAAATATATGATTGATTATATGAATGCAAATATTTACTGAAAACAGGCTTTGAAACTGATAATAGGCACATACAAATATATATACATCATAAGCCAGATGAATATTATTTGTTGGCATTAGAAGTCAACACCATCATCTGAGGTTTATTTAGGGTCCGGAATAGACTTCTGTAATTTATTCTTGAAGATTTGTCCCAGTTAAAGTCCTAATATTCCTTGAAGGAATGCTTATCGCCTGCAACCTTTCATCCCAGAGTTTTAGACGAAGATCCTCTTGAGAAATGAGAGTTTAGCCATCAAACATGAAAATATGTTATGCACAATGTAATGTGATGTCTCAAGACGTCATGCTCAGAGAGTTCGTAGTGAATGACTCTCAGCTACTATCATGTTAAATTATAGCTCAATATCTGTAAAATTAACCGAGTTCTAGACATTTATAATGTTGGCTAATGTTGATTAGCTGTGATGGTCATTTTGAATGGGGCTAACTCCAAAAATTAATCAGTTGTAGATGTTCATCCAATAAGTACTTTGTGAATATTTCATCAAAATCTGATCTGTCCACTGATATTTATATGTGTTGTAAATCGCCTTCAACTACTACCACACCATTTTACCACAATATTTGTAAAATCGACTGAATTATGACTATTTTTGTATTTTCCTAGGTCAGTTGATTGTGGTGGCCGTCTTGAATTCGGTTGACTCCAAAAGTTGATCCGTTGTAGATGTACATCTAATGATTACTTTCTGCAAGTTTCATTCAATTTAGTCCAATAGTTCATGAGACATTTCCCTAACAAGTCACAGAGCACGTTCTAGCAGCTACTTTGATGTATACAACGCTACAAGGAGTGCCACCAAACAGCCTTAAGGACCAACTTTAATCGAGATAAAATGTGAACTAATTATAAAGTTAGAAACTTTATTTTAATTAACAATAGAACCGTTCGTTTTAAGAACAAAAACATTTGTTTAATGCCCAGAACCGAATGGCGAAGACATGGACAATGTTTTTGTCCGTGTGTTTGTGTGTACATGTCTGATAAAATATTTCATGAACCACTGACAGATACTGCCCTAAAATATGGTGTGACTGATCCTCAACTCATATTCTGAGGGCTAACAGATCGTTGTTTAAAATGGTGGCATTTGGAGTCAACTTTGTCTGTGTGCTCTGTGACTTGTGCAGGCTGTGTCTAAGAATGTTCATATGTGTAATAAGGGCTTTAAAGGCGTTTGCCACCTCAGATCTTCATTGTCTTTTTCAACACAATGTATAAAATTGTTTTCTGTGCACTTGCTTTGCTGTGTTTGCATGAGCCACAGTGGAATAATCCTGACAGTGGGTTACGTCAGACGACAGCGGCTATTTGGAGATGGACTTAGTCATTTAGTCACACAGTCTGCTCAAAATATAGACCTTTGCTAAGAAGGCTTGTAATCTCTATTTTACCACCTGAATCCTATAGATTAGACCGCCAAGACAGCAGTGCCTCAGCTATCTTTACTCTCATGGTTTACACACACATGGCCGCCATGGACGGTACTCTGCTTTGTCATGTAGGTCCTAATTTGTCCTTTTGTCTTTTAGCTGAACTGAAACGATCTTAAAAAATATTACTGTATAGCCTTTTTACTGGTGATTTTTTTTAAATATATTTTTGCTGGTATAGACGGCTGTAATGCAGCAGCATTCAGTCCTAATCAAACATCTGCTCGCAGTTTCACATTGAAGCCTAGTGATGAGTCTGCATGAGTCAGAGGCATTGCCACAAGCTTTCTGAGGAAAATAGACCTCAGAAGAACAAACATGGCAACAAACATCAGACGTTTATCATCAGAAAGCAGCTGCCTATCAACAACTTGATATAAACATTTAAATTTGCATCAAACTTGATCATGTATACAAGTCAAGGAGGGTATGAAAGTTACAGCATCAACACTGTTTACAGCTTTAAAACTCAACAACAGGAGTTTATAGTTTCAAGTTAACGCAACAATTTTAAATATATATATTTTAATTTATACAGAACATTAAATTTTGAGCTTTAGGGGTAAGTATTATATCATTATGGCTTAGTTCAGAAATAATCTGCAGTATTAAAGGGTGCATATTTTTCAAATGTATGGTTGTGATTTTTGTTACTACATGTATGTTCATCTTTTTCTTCCGTGATAATATCCCTGGCCTCTGCAGTTGGCTTATGAATTTTCTCACTTCCGTGGCCCTGTGTTGTTTTCGTCTCACAAACGCTGACTCGCATTTGCTATTTTAAACTTATCTCAGAAATGTGCCAGTCAGCCAGCCAACAAGCCGCTTTTCAAGTACAACATTTCGTCTGTTCACCGCTTTTTTTGTGTCTTTTATTTTTTATTTATTTAAGAGTGATGAAGTACTGCACACACAAAACTATTATCCAGGAGTTTTCCCCAAATTTCTTTACCATTTATCGTATTTATTTACCCGTTCAATTGTTCAAAATAACACTTGATATGTTTTAAATGATATTCGATGCTGCTAAAAGTCAGACATTTGGTAAAAATACACATTTTCTCATAGTGAATTTGTTTAAAAACATTTTATTGGTTTGAATATTGTTTGATTGACACTGTCCTCCTTATTTGCAGGAGGTTTTGCAATAGTTTTCTTGGTGCGGACACATCAAGGCCAGCGCTGCGCACTAAAAAGAATGTATGTCAATAATGAACATGACCTGCAGATCTGCAAACTTGAGATACAGATTATGGTGAGTATAAACCAGTTGAATACAACAAAATCATTAGGAGATGGTTCTGGAGCCGCAGACAAGTGAAGAATTTTTTATAGCAGTAAAATATAAACGTGAACTTAAAGCGCTTGATTTGATCAAATTTAAGGCTTATACTTAGAAGACAGTGAAGGTTATTACAAAAATCTTGGAGCTACGAAAAGTAACTAAAGGAAACTAAAAACTTTAGTCATAATTAACTTTTCAGTATGGGTTTTGTAGTTACCAGGTCTAAGTGGCGCCTCAAGTCTGAATATGTGTAATTTAATGTGAAATGTCTGATTTTACTTCCGTGTCCCATTTCCCAACTGGAGTCTTTTTCTGTTAATACCCAGTTCCTGCAGCCACGCCCTGGAATGACTAACAGTGGATGGTTATCTTTATCATTTCTATTCCTCGCAGATAAAAACTAATTCACAAACATGGAATAGTTGTTAGAATTTTGAAAACGATTTGAAAGATGTCACATGTCTGTCCTAATTCCTTTCTGTTTGTTTGTTTACACAGAGAGACTTAGTTGGTAACAGAAACATAGTTGGTTTTCTGGACTCCAGCTTAGCTGCAGTCGGAGCTGGTGATGTGTGGGAAGTCCTAATCTTAATGGACTTCTGTCGAGGTAAATCTGCCCACCCCCCACACTTTTCTGTCTCTAATTATTAAAGCTTCATTACCCTTAGCTGCTCGTTTCTGTATCCTGCTTTCTTCTGAGTCCAAAGGTCATCTGACAGCAGTAATGGTCAACAGAAGTTCAGTTTTCTTTAATGTTTTGATGTTTGTTTTTTAGGAATGTAAAAGTTGAGATGTAGTTGCTGAAGCATTTAAAGAGCAGTTTACAAATAAGTGTTTAATTTAGGGGGAAATATATTTAAATAAGTTAAGCTGCAGTGATAAACAAATTTGTTCTAACTTTTGAACACGTCGTTTCAAACAGTGTTGTTCAAAAGAATCGGAATAAACTTTATTGGCCTTGCACCGAGATACAACGCAAATAACTTTTGATAAATAAGAAAAAGTTAATTATTTGTTTTTTTCTGCTGTATAGAGATATTTGAAAATAAATATTTATGTAGTTTAAATGGGAAGTTATTAAACCTCACAGTTTTGTGGCACTAAGACTCAGAGGATGTCTTAAACATTTTTTCATAAAAGAATATTACTATGCTACGACGGAGCTTCAGGGCCACGCTAAGAAAAAATAATTAAAAGCCGTAAAATTATGAGAATAAAGTCATAAGAGACTTTTTTTTCCAGCTAAAGTTTATGGGTTTTTTAATTTTTCTTTCCATGAGTCGGATCCACGACACGACCTGTCATTCAGTCCACTAAGCATGTCTGCAAATAACCAATCCGAAGCTAAATGAGTCGCAATATTATCCGAACTCTGACACATAAAGCAGGTTTACTGTATTTTAACAGTGGTAAAATGAAGAATGTTGAGCATCCTGTTAAGTTATACTTTGGTATTGGTTTTACAAATAAGGAGATACTTAATCTGTTAGCACATCAGCATCAGATTATCATCAATATCAGGACTTTGAACCTGCTTACATTAATGTGGTACCCTCTGATGGGCTGCAGCAGCTCTCTGCAGGTGAGGAGCATTGAGCGTCGGATTGGTCATTTGCTGACACGCCTGCTGGATTGATTGACAGGTTGCATTGTGGATCCGACTCATGGGGGAAAAAAAAACGGAAAAAAAATAAATAAGCTGCAAATAAAAAAAATCTTATACGACTTTATTCTTGTAGTATTAAACTTTATTCGACTTTATTCTTGTAATTTTATGGCTTTGAAAAAAACATTTTCCTTAGCATGGCAATGTAATTTTAATTTTTTTTTCTTAGTGTGGCCCTAAAGCTCCATCGTACTATGCTGATTAATCAGGGTTGGTGTTTTTTTTTTTTATTAATTAATTAATTAATTTATTCATTTACTTCTCCCAAACATTTATCGACCCGTTTGTTTTATGCAGGTGGGCAGGTGGTAAACCTAATGAACCAACGATTACAGACAGGTTTCAGTGAAACTGAGGTGTTGCAGATCTTTTGTGACACGTGCGAAGCTGTTGCACGTCTTCACCAGTGCAAGACTCCCATCATCCATCGAGATCTTAAGGCAGGCTTCAATCAGTCTTTAATATTTATTTACTACCTACTGTCTTATTATGAGTTTTTATATATATATATATATATAATCTGACAAGTTTTGTCTTTTTCTTCCTCATGTAGGTTGAAAATATCCTTCTTCATGACCAGGGTCACTACGTGCTCTGTGACTTTGGAAGTGCCACCAACCGCTTCCAAAATCCTCAGACGGATGGGGTCGCAGTTGTAGAAGAAGAAATTAAAAAGTGTTTATTTTTTCGCACTCCTACGAGCACTGAATGCATCCTGTCCCCAGTTTAAAAGCTCATGTCTGTGCTCCCTTCTTCAGGTACACTACGCTCTCTTATCGGGCTCCAGAAATGGTCAACCTGTACGGTGGACAAGTCATCACAACAAAGGCGGATATTTGGGTCGGACTGAAGTTCTTAGAAAATTTACATATTCTGCTAGATTTAAAGTACAGGAAAAATGTACTTTGTGGTGTTTAAATGTTTAAAGCAAGACTTTACATGATTCTTGTCTTTTTAGGCCTTGGGTTGTCTACTGTATAAGCTGTGCTTCTTCACCCTTCCTTTTGGCGAGAGCCAAGTAGCTATTTGTGACGGCAGTTTTACCGTCCCTGACAACTCCCGCTACTCCCAGGATATGCACTGTCTCATTAGTGAGTAACTTTGTTTTGCACTATCCTACCTAATCCACACACAGCCTTTAAATGTATATTCAAATTTGACTGTACAATTTTATGTCTCTGTGGCAAAGTGTGTGCTTTATGTTGGGAACTTTTTAGGATACATGCTGGAACCTGATCCAGAAATGAGACCAGACATCTACCAAGTGTCCTACTTCGTCTTTAAACTGGCTCGACGAGAGTGCCCAGTTCCAAATTTATATGTAAGAAAGTCAGAAGAAAAGTGAAATGTGAATATGCTTTAGGAACAAAAAGGTTAAATCATGACATGATTTAACCTTTTTTGTTATCTACCTGGATGATTGAGCTTACAAACCTTTTAAAAAATGTTTTAGGATTTAAAATCTTTCTTTCTTTATATTTGTTTTTAACACAGCTTCCACATGTGTTTGCTTCTGCCTACTTGTTTCTCAAAGAAACGGAAATCTGAGACATAATCCTTTGTTTGTTTCTCTTACAATAGATAATTATGATATAATGGTGGGAGATGCTCATCATTGTTGAGGTGTAATTGAGTAACGCATATGTGTGTCGCTCTATGTCAGATAAATAGTGTCAATTTACTTTTTTAATACGGTATATGAATGTTTCTGTTCAGTGCCCTGAGACGACTCCTGTTGTGACTTGGTGCTGTAGAAATAAACTGAATTGAATTGTTCTGATATTTATTTTCTTCCTGTTAAAGAATTCACCCATTCCTGCAAAACTTCCTGAGCCCATCAGAGCCAGTGAAGCTGTAGCCAAGAAGAGTCAGACTAAAGCCAGGTGAGCAGAGACAAAATGGTTCAATTCTGATACCGTTATATTGATCAGTTTCTGCTGGGTGATCTTGCTTTTCTCCTGCTTCACTCTCCTCTACAGACAGGATGATTTTGATTTGGGCCACTCACTTTGTTTGTTCTCACATGTCTGAAGCTGCAACAACACAAACATTGTGTCTATGCGAGGCTACAATTTTCCTAATTTTATAAATAAAAAATTAAATTCAAAGCAACTTACAGGTGTAGAAATGTACATGGTGGTTTTAACTTTCAGAGTGTCACTGAATTTTGAAAGAGGAGGATTTTAATATTTTTTGGGGACAGAGCTATCTAGAGAGGAATTTTAACGACAACAAAAAAGTAGTTATACTAAACTTTACTATGTATTTGAAAAACATAAGAAGCTTGCCCATTTTGTGCTCTGCCCTCTTCTTGTTCTCCCATCAAGGCTCACAGATCCAGTTCCAACGACAGAAACATCAATTGCACCTCGACAGCGACCCAAAGCTGGGCAGGCACAGTCCCAGCCGATATCGGGCATTCTTCCCATCCAGCCAGCTCTCACCCCACGCAAGAGGCCTAATGTGGCTGCAGCAACTCCACCGGCTGTAGGTAAGAGTAACTCTGAGATCCTTCTCTCAGGGAATCTGGCAATGTTATTTTTTTAAAAGCACATCTGTGTTGGAATCAACAAGTTCCTTAATATATTGGCTGTACAGAGTTTCAGGTCATTCATCTGTGGTCCAATTGAAGGAGAATAAATTCAGTTGTGAGAGTCAGAGAGGTTTTATTGCCATTTCAGCTACATACAAGTACATACTGAAACGAAACGGTGTTCCTCCAGGATCACGGTGCAACATATAATAAATGCAAAAAGTCATCTAACCTAATCTTATTAATTAGTTCTAGAATTGCGCCGCTCAAGGTGGCTGCATGTTGGAGCAGCTCTGTTACTTTCATTCTGTGATTTTGCTTTTGGAAACTTTAATTCCTCTTTTTCTGGATGTAAATCACATTTTTTGGATGATTGTTTCCTCTGGTATCAGATGCTGTGCAGCTGGAAGTATTTTTACTGAAACTTTTTTTTAGTTTTGGACATTTGTTATGATGCGTAATCATGGCAACAAGGCAGTTTTCTACAACCAGCAGCTGATTAACATCTCAAAAGCTCAACTAATATCTCAAATACAGCCCCAAATCTCAAATGAGTTGAAAAGGATGTTCTGTGGATGCATTCTCATCTACCTGCCAGCTGTACTCGAGTGCCTGACCACTGAGATCCTGGAACTAGCAGGAAACACGGCTCATGACAGTGGAAGGACAGGATCTTCCCTCGGCCCCTACAGTTGGCTGTCCACAATGACGAGGAGCTCGGCAGACTGCTGGGAGGAGTGGCCATCGCTCTGGGAGGAGTTCTGCCCGGCATTCGGGCGGTCCTACAGCCCGGGGGAACTGAGAGGCCAGCCGAGTCTGGGTGGACGGATCGGACGGCATCTGCAGCCAGTTCCTTAGGATCCACTGTGAGATGGACCTTTACAAGAAATCCTTCCTGTCTACAACCATCAGCATCTATAACATCTCTTAATGAAATGAGGATAACGAGTTACTACAACAAATAATTTCCCTCTGGGATTAATAAAGTATTTTTGAATTTGAATCTAAACATTTCCATCTAAACAAATAATTAAGAGAGAAGACTAGAGACACATGTTGGTTAGTACAAGTGCACCGTAGGTGGTACGTAAGGTAGAAACATGTTCTGATATGTGGCTAGCAGGGTAACATTTTTCTATTTTATTAGCAGCAGAGCTATAAACTGTGTAAGGTGTAAAAATGTAAAACTAATTCCTAATGATAAATAAATACCAGTAAATAATAAATAAAAACTCATTATTTCTAACCTTTACTTCTTAATACCTTCAGGCTCTAATTCATGCTGACTCCCTTGATGCGTCTTTATCCGAGTATTTTCTGTATTTTAAAAATGTATACAAAATAAAATAATGCATTATTCAAATAAAATTCTTGTGTAATGACATGTGTAGATTTTATCTGTAGATATGTATTAATTGAAATGTGATTTTATTTTATTGAAACTTGTTCATAGCAACAGCTGTCTTCTCTTTGTGAAATTCACTCTTTGTTTAATATGAGTGTTATTGTACTTAATAACCCAAAACTTTAATAACGGATCATTTAAGACACGAGTTGTTTGTTATTCTGTGACATTCTGTTTTAAAGAAAACATGTCACTTTGCTCAGTGAGTTACAGATGGACCTTTTTTTTTGTCCTCCAGTCTTCTTTAGTTCAGATTCAAAATGTCCCTCCCATTCTTTGGTTTTCCTTCCTTCCAGGGGTTGGTATCAGTGTCCCAGCTGCAGCTCCTGTCCAACCTGCTCCACAGGCTCCAACTCTACAGGCTGCTCCACAGACGGCCAACATGCAGCCACAGCATCAGCAGCTCCTCATGAAGCAGCAGCAAGCTGCAGCCTTCATAAGCCCGCAGAGCAACCAACAGGTAGGAATATGGATGCAACCAGGATGGAGCTGCTGTAACTTAAATCTTTGTTTGTGCAATACAATAAAAAATAATCCAGGTTGAGGCATTCCCATGAGTTTGGAAAATCTGCTTTATTTTCCATTTTTCTTTAGTTTAAGAATAAAATCTTGTAGTATTCTCCAGCTTTTACGATTGGCTGAACAAACCATAGATTACCAACAGCATATAACATACTACACCCTCTGTCAAGACAGGAAGGGTTTTAAGGTCATGTCTAAACAATTTTTAGTTTGTTGTTCATCAGCGAGTGGAAACAAACATTCAGTTCAGTCTTCACAGAAGTGAACATCTTAGTAAATTCATCTCAGTGTTAGACTAAATTATTCAGCAAAACTGCAAAAAGTTCAAGAGCAACCTTTAAGAATCCATAGGCCTCAGTTAGCTTGTTAAATCCTAAAGTTTATACCAGTATAACTGGGAAAAGACTGAATGTGTATAACCTTTCGAGCAGGATTTTGAGAAAAAGCTAGTATGAATTTAAAACATTAAAGCGGAGTGTAGATTTGGAAAGTTGCAGCTAAACAAACCGCATGGTTTGAGGAACAATGTGATTAAGACTAATGAGATTAATTGTAAATATTTAGTCCCAATGCACACAACCAAATTCTGTTCTAACTAAAAACATAAAATTGGAACAAACCACTCATGGCAGCTGTCAAACGGAGTGGAGGAGAACAGATATTTGGGCTTTTTTTGTTTGTTTTGCAGCCACAAGGCCTTTGTGTCTTGCAGTCATTCAGCTACTTAATTATTCTCGAGTCAAGTCATTCAGTGTCAAACAGCTGAATCCAGGCCAAACTTGGCTCATGCATCAAGACAAAGATCCCAGCTACAGCAGCAAATCTATTGCAGAATGGTTGAATTTTTACACCTAACTAATTCTCTTTTTCAAAGTCTAGACCTCACCCTTATTAGAATGTTGTGATGAATAGTAAGAAAGAAAAAATGCTCAGACAAATTATGTCAGTGTTGTTTAGAATATTTGAATTTCTCTTTTAGTGTAAAAAACTGATGAGATCTTATGGTACTTACATTATTACTATTAAATCTTGATCTTGTAAGCTTCCATATTATGGTAGGGACTGAGGATTGATATGTGAAACAATGAAAATGAGGATGAACTTTTTATCACGACTGTGAGCACATTTGTACGACTCCATGTGTATCAGATGTTTTGGTTCAGTTTTTTGTTTTTACACAAAGAAAAGCATGATGATGCTTTGACACTGAGCTTTTCTCATAAATGGCTGTATGATATTCCAATTTAGCACCAACTACAGATGATGTCCCATCACCAAACACCTTTCCAAGCATCTACTCTGCTGCAGTCCAAAGTTAAACCTGTTCCTTCAGTCCTTACCCATCACGTTCAGCAGCATGTAGTCCATGAAACAGCAGCGTGTCATCTCACTCCCATCCCTGAGTGTGCAGCTCTCGGTCGTGCAGATGGCCCAGAGGTTGTGGTAACATCCTTCTCCTGCTGTCTGCTGCTCCTTGGGTCGGGGCTGATTAGTAGCTCATCTCTAACCAATCACTTGCAGCCTTTTGCTCTTTCCTTCTTCTTGAGCAGTGAAGACAGGATTGATCAGTAGATAAATGTGTTGCAACCTTGTAGAAATGCTTCTTGTGATGTGCTCTTTATTTAAAAGAATAACATTGCTCTTTCTTTTTTTTTTTACAGATATTTTTTAATCATTTTTACCTTTACTGCTACTTGGTTTACTTCAACCGTTGTCTTTTTGTTTGTTTTTCTCAAAGCTTGGTTCCTCTGCAGACTGATATTTTCTCACCTATCCATTTACTCGGGCTTATGCTTGGGATCTGATTTGTTTCCTCTGGATCAGTAATAAAAATATCCAAGTTTATAACTTGTTTTTTTTTTTATTGCCAGCTTTGCATTTTACCTATTCTTTTTTTAATTACAGGCTGCAGGCAGAGCGATTCACAAAGCTGGCTCTTTGACACCCCCCTCATCACCAAAGGTAGCCCCTAAAAGTGGCCACAGACGAATCCTGAGCGACGTCACCCACAGCGCCGTGTTTGGGGTCCCAGTCAGCAAGTCCACCCAGCTACTTCAGGCAGCCGCAGCTGAGGCCAGCCTAAACAAGTCCAAGTGAGTACAATTAACCCTTTTCAGCATTCACGAGTGAACTGTCCTTTCATGGCACAGAGGGAGTCTGGGAGGACAACAAGTGGCTCATTCATGTGACAGCAGCCTTTTTACATCCCTAAAAGTCACATTTTAGGAAGGTGCTCTAATTCAGTCCTAATGAAAATCTCTTTGCGTCAACTTGTAGAGGCAAACATCAGTTCACACCATCTTTATACCTTATGTTCAATTTCACTTTGCATTCTTAATAAACATTTTATATTTTTACTGCAGATCAGTTAGCACCACTCCCTCTGGCTCCCCGTGCTCGTCCCAGCAGAGCGTGTATCATCCAGGTGGTGCTGACGCTCCATCGGCGCTCGCAGCCCCCAACTCTCAGCCCAGCTGGAACCCCTTTGGAGATGATAACTTCTCCAAGCTGACGGCAGAAGAGCTGCTCAATAAGGACTTTGCTAAACTTGCTGAGAGTAAGTTGTGCACCGTGTGATCACGCCTGCAGGCCTCCTACTGTCTTGGTGTGATCTAAAACAACGTATTGTTTGTGTGTAATCAGCTGCTTCTGCAGGAGAAAGAGGCTCCAATTCCAATGAAAGTCTCATTCCAGAGCTCAATGCTTTTCCAGGTAAATTGTAATTCTTCTCATTAAGAGGTTTATGTGCGCTCTTAGATTTATAGTGCATTAAGGCATTTTTTGTTTGTTTTGTTTGCGCTATATATTTTAATTTCAGTTGTTTATGCTTCCATTTGATCCTTTACTCCCTCTTTTATTCACATTATTACTTCAAACATCTGCAGACATCTCAACGTTGTCTGCCCTTCACCCTTTTAATGCTCTTTCTCTCAGACACAGCAGGTAATGTTCTTGTGATACAAAATGCACTGAATATTTTCACGGTTCTCACATGCAGAACTCTGTCACAAGCCCATTCCTGCTGAGGTGGTTTCCTTGATATCACACACCTGATGCCGTTTTATGGAAGGCAGTTTTGTAGTTTAGGTTTGTACGCACAGCCCTATCTTGTTGGTGTAGCTAGCAGCTTCACACTGGCTTCTTGTCTGTGTCCATGAATAGACACCTTACAAGCGGCTAGATGGCATCTCTCTTGCAGATCTGTGCTTTCACCGTTGCCTGGTAACGTGAAGGACAAGTTCTCCTCTGTTAATTGGATTGCTTTGCTGCGGGAAGAGCCCGCTTACTGGTGCCATGAAGAACAGGAGAAAGTTAAACGCACTGTCTTGTTAAAACAATGTGCCTGACTTTTATATCCTTGTCAGATTAGCCTTTAACCTTTTACAGAGGTGTTTTCTTTTAGCCATTTAACCTACTTTTAGTAACTGCTGTTTAAGGCCTGCGCTGAGAGGATAACAGTCCAGCTAGTTATTAAGAAATAAGGGTGTGGTTAATCTTCTCTACCTTTAAGCTGTCTATATAATTCACTCAGGATGCACTCAAGCAATCACAGCCTGACATTTGTTGATGGAGCAGAAAATGTCTTTTGAGTACGAGAGATTTTTTTTTAAATGAACTAAAACTTGGTCGTTACAGTTTATTATTTCAAATGTTTAATATTAACTGGAATAATTAGCTTCATAAAACTGAGGATTCCTGAAAAACTTTGTCCATTTTGGCCCTTCTCTCATAGTGCTAGAGGCTAAAAGTCACATCTGCTGTGCCACTTTCTGAGTCAACTCATTCCTTGTCTACACCCCATAGCCCCATTTTGCCCAGTAGAAGTTTTTTGTGAGTATGAGCCGCAGCCAGCATTTGGTTATGTGCTTGGATTGTGTTTGTGTTGTTGATTATTATGGAGTCGCTTTGTTTTTATACAACTAAACTGGCGTTTATGACAAGTGATAAATCCAGTTTAACAGAAGTTGTTGACAGTGAATGTTTTAAAGAGTTTTACTAATTACAAACCGGATTCCAAAAAAGTTGGGACACTAAACAAATTGTGAATAAAAACTGAATGCAATGATGTGGAGATGGCAAATGTCAATATTTTATTCGTAATATAACATAGATGACAGATCAAAGTTTAATCTGAGTAAATGTAACATTTTAAAGGAAAAATATGTTGATTCAAAATTTCACAGTGTCAACAAATCCCCAAAAAGTTGGGACAAGTAGCAATAAGTGGCTGGAAAAAGGAAATTGAGCATATAATGAACAGCTGAAAGACCAATTAACACTGATTAGGTCAATTGACAACATGATTGGGTATAAAAAGAGCTTCTCAGAGTGTCAGTGTCTCTCAGAAGCCAAGATGGTAAGAGGATCACCAATTCCACCATTGTTGTGCAGAAAGATAGTGCAGCAATACCAGAATGGTGTTACCCAGCGTAAAATAGCAAAGACTTTTAAGTTATCATCATCAACCGTGCATAACATCATCAAAAGATTCTGAGAATCTGGAACAATCGATTTGCGTAAGGGTTATGGCCGTAAAGCTGTACTGGTTGCTCGTGATCTCCGGGCCCTTAAACGTCACTGCACCTCAAACAGGAATGCCACTGTCAAGGAAATAACAGAATGGGCTCAGGAATACTTCCAGAAATCATTGTCAGTGAACACAATCCACCGTGCCATCCGCCGTTGCCAGCTGAAACTCTACAGTGCAAAGAGGAAGTCATTTCTAAGCAAGCTCCACAAGCTCAGACGTTTGCACTGGGCCAGGGGTCATTTAAAATGGAGTGTGGCAAAATGGAAGACTGTTCTGTGGTCAGATGAGTCACGATTTGAAGTTCTTTATGGAACACTGGGACGCCATGTCATCCGGACCAGAGAGGACAAGGATAGCCCAAGTTGTTATCAACGCTCCGTTCAGAAGCCTGCATCACTGATGGTATGGGGTTGCATGAGCGCTTGTGGCATGTGCAGCTTGCATGTCTGGAAAGGCACCATTAATGCAGAGAACTATGTTCAGGTTCTAGAACAACATATGCTCCCATCTAGACGTCATCTCTTTCAGGGAAGACCCTGCATTTTTCAACACGATAATGCCAGACCACATTCTGCAGCAATCACAACATCATGGCTACGTAGGAGAAGGATCCGGGTACTGAAATGGCCAGCCTGCAGTCCAGATCTTTCACCTATAGAGAACATTTGGTGCATCATAAAGAGGAAGGTGCGACAAAGAAGGCCCAAGCCGATTGAACAGTTAGAGGCCTGTATTAGACATGAATGGGAGAGCATTCCTATTTCTAAACTTGAGAAACTGGTCTCCTCTGTCCCCAGATGTCTGTTGAGTGTTGTAAGAAGAAGGGGGGATGCCACACAGTGGTAAAAATGGACTTGTCTCAACTTTTTTGGGATTTGTTGACGCCATGAAATTTGGAAACAACAGATTTTTCCCAATGATACATTCTCTCAGTTTAAACTTTTGATCTGTGATTTGTGTTCTATTCTGAATAAAATATTAGATGTTGGCACCTCCACATCATTGCATTCAGTTTTTATTCACAGTTTGTTTAGTGTCCCAACTTTTTTGGAATCCGTTTTGTATTTCATTTGTTTAACTAATTGTAAGATGTTAAAGTTTGTACTGACTAATGAGTTGAATGTTCAGGAACCTTTAATGACTGGCCCTGAAGTTTGCAGCATGTAATTCATTTAAGTGAATTCACTTACAGATTTTGATGCTTTTATTTTGTTACTGGATTTTTTTTTTTATTTTTTTTTTGAGAGAGATACTTACTCAACATGGAGGCAACAAACTATGTACAATATTTCAAATATTTTGAAAATGTTCTGGTTTAATTAGAATTTTATGGGATTCTACTAATTTTGTAGGGGATTTAAAAATATATTAATTCACAGCCCAGTAGTTTTTAGTATTTGTATAATATGAAAGAGTAAAGTTGAAAAATACGAGGCCAGCATTAAATAACTGTGTAACTATTTGCCTGCTTATTGTGAACACTTCGTTGTGATAGTATTTGTTTATCTGACGTGAACTCTGCTTCGTGCGCTGCAGACAGTTCTGAAAGTTTTGTAATGATTGGAGCTGGAGGAGCTCTGCTGGCCAAACCAGTGTCACTATTTTCAAGTTTCATAAAGTAGCTTATCCTGTTGTATTTGTTGTAAAGAGGAAAACAAAAGACGTTTTATACCTGCACATTTATTTATTAACCTTTATTTAACCAGGCAAATCCCATTGAGATTTTGCAAGGGAGCCCTGGGCCTGAAGGCAGACTAACATGCATGTTTTTGGTCTGTGGGAGGAAACCGGAGTATCTGGAGAAAACCCACGCAAGCATGAGAAGAACATGCAAACTCCACACAGAAAGACCCCAGGTCCTATTGGGGATTGAACACAGGACCTTCTTGCTGTGAGGCAACAGTTAAAACCACTGAGCCGTCGTGCAGCGATGTGACACATGTGATTTATGCATGTCATAACTCTAAAACTGGCTGATGGTCGGTAGTTTCCCTGCTATTTTATGGTAAAAAGGCTTATTTTGAATACAATATATTATTACCCAAAAATTAACCTTGGTAATTGTGTCACTAAAAACATCCCTTAAATAATTGTTTGTTTTTGCTGCATCTTGACCTTTCAACTTTTGCTTTTGCCTTCAGTATTTGTGCTGAAAGCTTCAGTGTCTGTTCTTAAGTTGATCAAGTCTTTTTTTTTAAGTGATCCATTTTTGCTTTTTTCCCACTTTCAAGAAAAAAAATCACACTCTGTGGGAAAGGAGCAAATATGGTCCCTACTAAACAAACATGTTTTTGTCCGTAAAACTAACATTTACTTTCATCTTTCTGTCTCTGTGTAGCAAAGACAGAAGTGTGTGTGGATTCGCTGATTCCTGGTTTAGATGCGCCCCAGACCCAGCAGCATTCAAGCCAGCCAGAGTGTGTTGCTGCCAGCATGACAGGTTAGCATTCTGAATTACAGAAAAGAAAAAGAAACGGCTGACTGAACACTGGTTTATAACCTCTTTGTGAGATGAAGCTGCTCTGGTAAAAACACTTGTGTGAAAGTTGTTTTGAACTTGGCTTCTGGATTAACTGCAGGGTGAAGCAGTGATACGGATCGAAACCCAAAGGTTTCCTGAAGTGGGAACTTTTGTTTTCAGTGAGCACTATTAAGATTTTTGAAATCATATTGTAGTCATCTTCCTTCTAAACGTCACATTTTACATTGAGGCCTGCATTTAGGTTTTGAGCTCACAGTTACTGCTGCGTTAAGTTGTAAGCTACATCAGAGTCAGAGAGTCAGAGTTTCTTTATTGTCATTCGCACCTCATGTGGTACATGTGGTGGAGCGAAATTATGTACACAAGGTCCCAGTTACATCCAACAATAAAATGTATAAGAAAAACAGTAATAACATCTAAGATATGAACTAAGAAAAACATTAACTAAATATACACTAAGCACTCATAACATAAAAACATTGAACATCAGCACAAACATGAACATGAGTCTGTGTGAGCAGATGAGCACGCATGAACACATCAACATTGAAACAGATCAGCAGCAACATGAAACATCAGCAGCAACATGATGTGATTTTTCACAGTGATTATTCTAGTTAGAGATTCATGAGTCTAACAGCCTCAGGGTAGAAGCTGTTTCTCAGTCTAGTGGTTCTAAATGCTCCTCAACCTCCTTCCTGAGAGGAGTGGGGCAAAAAGTGTGTGTGCTGGGTGAGTGAGGTCCTTCATGATGCAGGTAGCCCTCTTCCTGCATGAATAAATGGCTGTCTTGCTAACAAATTCATCCCTGCACTGCTAACAGTCATAGTTTATCGTGACCCTCTGGCTTTGCTTCATTCTGCCTCAGATTCCTTCACTGGGGACGACTCTCTGTTGGGTTGTGGTCTGCTAACTCATGCTTCTTGCACAAACCAGCACGTCACTGGTCTCTCTTGCGCCTACTCTTCTGTTCCCCCTGGTTGTGGCTCTGGATCCTGTCTGGAGGAGCTGCAACCTGATCAGACTGCTTCTGGTAAGAACTTTCTTTTGTGGTGTTTTGATCACACAATTGAAACCTCGACAGATCACCCTCAAAGAAGCAGGGCATATTTATTCATGGATAACTGTGGCTTAGACGAGGAGATTGAAATACCGTATTTTATGGTGTATAAGTCGCATCAGTCAAAAAAAGCATCATGAAGAGAAAAAAAACATAAGTTGCTTTGGTGTATAAGTTGCATTTATTATGCGTCACCGCTGACCCATCGCATTTATTTACTGGTCAAAACAGCTTCATTTCGCCTGGGCGACGCGGCGCCATCCATCCATGGTGGCCAGAGCCGCTAGCTCTCCAGCGTTCCTCCGCCTGCACCAGCTAAGTGAAGCGAGCGCGCACGGGAGAACTCGCTGTTGCAGTTCTTAGAAATTTAAAGCGTCAGTCAAAAATTGCATTATGAACATTAAAAAAAAATGTATATAAATCATTGTGACGTATAAGTCACATGACTGACAAATCTTTGAAAAAAAACTGCGACTTGTACGCTAAAAAATATGGTAGACTGTGAATGACAACTTCATAAGGACCTAGATTTCTTTCAAGATAAAATAAAAAAATGTGACATAATTGACTTTTAAAAACTTCTTACTGGGTTGACCCCATCCATTTTTAATTTGCTGCATACTTTTATCTTTCATGTTCTTCTCTGCGGCTGTGGATTCTTCCTTTGTTTTCACTTCACTCACTCTTCCTTCACTGCAGACTCTTCTTTCCTAATGTCTGGTGGGAAGAAGGTCAATGATGATGAGTTTGACCCTATTCCTGTGCTCATCCCAAAAAATTCAAATCAAGGTAAGGCTGAGAGATTTGTGACATGAGCACCTGCTGACGCCAGAGAGACTTGGGCCCTAGTTTAGTCATCACAGCTTGTTTTTGTGATTGCTAATTAAAGAAGGCTTGTATGAGTGCGCTTGTCACATTGAGGCTGTTTGTCCCCTCATCGAGCTCTCACATTAGTTATTTCCTTTGTGCCTGAAGTGAAGCTGCGAGTGCAACAGTTTCTCTCTACAGAGTTTATCTTGATAATTCCCTCATGTTAGAATGGCGTTCCCTTGCTCCCCTTCTATAATGATGCAGCTGTTTAAACATGATCCCAGCTTATTCTCTGCTTCTTCTCTCCTTCTGTCCCTGTTCATGCATACCTCCCCTCGTTCTCACTTATTATTTTTCCCATACTACTCCTCGTTAATGACCTTTCTCATTTGCTTGTCTTTTACAATTGCCCTTGGCTCCTCCATGCCCATCTCTGTCTCTTTCTTTCTTTCTTTCTGGCACGTTTTCAGGTGGGCACTCGCGCAGCAACAGTGGCAGTTCAGAGTCCAGCATCCCCAACTTGGCCCGCTCTCTTCTCCTGGTGGATCAGCTCATCGACCTCTAGAGGGGGGTGGGGGAGGTTGAAGGGGCAGAGTACAAAACCTTAATGAAGGGAGGGGGGGGCGGGGAATGGAGGGACAGAGATGGGCAACAGAGGCACTTAACGTAGCAACTTCTGAAGTGAAAAAAGCCAGCATGGATTGGTTCAGGCGAACCATTCTCTTTATGTGCCTCCTTGGCCTCAACTCCATCTCTAGTAGCCTGATAAGCTGGTTTCATGCATCTCTGCTGGCCGTTGACATTTCCACGCTGGTAAAAACTTTTGTCTTTTTTGGTTTGTGTTAACGCCTGAGCATATCGTCTGCTTTTGTCCCCGCTTCACCATGGTCTTTTTCATGCCTTCCCATACTTGCATTAATAGCCCTCGTTGAGTGCACGCCCATGGTGATCGACCCTCGTATGCACTGCTTGATCACAGCTGCGTTGTGTTCACCTGGTGTACTTGTTGAAGGCAGAAGTTATAAACACACCGCCCTCATGGTCATGGGAGTTGATGGTCTGATTAGAGAGTGAGGACCGGAATTAAAATCGTCCTCTTACACTTTTAAGGTCAAATGTTTGAGCTTAATTATTTGAGCGTGTAACCTAAATGAACATGGATGTTTCCTGGTGCACAGATTGAACCAGTCTGTGAAGAAATGAGAAGGAAAAAGTCAGCTTCTGGGCAGATATCTGTTGTTAACTGGTGTACAAGAAGATTTAGTCTGCCCAGTCCAGACATTTTGTTTGGACATGACTGTGATGCATAAAGTGTTTGGAACCTAAAATGTTCAGTCCTGCTTGTTCTTCTGCAGATTAATCAGTAATTATTACTAACACTTGAGTACATTCATTAAGCTTCAAGACATCATCTTAACTATACACAGTTTCTTCTTTTTGAATGTTAAAGTACTATTGATTTTAAAGCCGTGATGATGTCTGGGTGTCCTGAATCGGCTGAAGTTGATGTTTACGCAGCCGATCAGTTTGAGCCCACAACAACATGCTATCACTGCATTAGGTTTTTAATCAATTTAATCTTGATTTTTTTTTTTTGATGTACAGATGCTTAAATTCTCATGTTTAAAACTTGTTTTCAACTGATATCAGCAGAAATTATTGATCGGAGGCATTACCAAAGCTAAAGGATATGTTCTATTTGTGCCGTTTGCCATGTCTCATCCTGCTCTCAGTGTAGATGACACAAGTCATACAGAGGAAGATGCAATTTAGAGATTAAGTTCATTTGTGTGGGCACCATGTTATGAAATTAGCTTTATTTAAAAACGTCTGTCTGTACCTAGCCAGTCCCCTCTTACATGTACCATGAAGTCAGTCATTAAATGTGGCAACATTTTACACAAAACGAGCCATGTTTATTGGATCTGTGGGCCTAAAAAAAACATTTCAATAATTAGTCTTGTCAGCTTTAGTAGAATTATTTTTTCATGTGTGTGTTTATTATTTAAAGGCTTTTAATCTTTAATGATATGACTAAACGTGACTTACTGATTGTGATTTTGAATGAATGTATGACCAGAGAAACATGTTTGAAAATGTGCAAGATTTTGAAGGCTATAAAGATAAAACCTATTTGTGTTTGAAGCCGTACTTAGTGTAAAGTTGGACTTTTTTTTCTTTGTCCCTTTATAGTTCATCTCCCTTATCAATATTTAATTTTAAATGTTTTTCCTTTGAAACAAAATGCTCCTGAATAGATCACAGTTTAGTGTTTTGTTATGTTCTTTTTAACAGCTTGCCGTTAAAACGGTGGAGCTACATTTTCTCTGATATCAGGGACCCAATGAAGGAATTTACTTCCTGATGACTTTCACTTCTCACAACTGTCCTCCGTTTGTTTTCCTGAACCGACAAAAGTTTGGATGAAAGTTGTATAAAAGTCTTATTGCATTTGATTTCAGTCGCTACAGTTGATTTTGTGTGTTAAGTGTCCAAATTCCCACCAAGTATTACTTTATGAAGTTTCAGTGTATATTCATACGCTGTAAACTCGTTTTTATGTAACCTTTACAAGTTTAAACTGAACATTTTTATCAGATATTCCATCACTTGTACAATTCATGTTTAAGTTTTGGGACCAGTTTTGTTGGATTTTTCTAAAATTTCTGTTGAGGAGTGAATTTTGGTATTCCTCTTTGTCTCCTCTCAATCTTTAGTATTTACAGTGAAGTCATTAGCATCGGTCTATGCAACCCAAGATAACGTGTCACATTCTTATCAGAAACTACATATTTTAGAGCTTTTACAGGAAAGTTAAACTTGTGTCGCTGTGGGGATTTTATTTGCCTCTTGTTCTGGTTGAGTTCGAATATTTCAGATGCATTCAAAATGTTCTTTCTGAGTTGGTAGATGTTCTTGTGTCGGGGTCCTTGTGTTTCTGTCCTTTTTTAATAAATCAAGAGATCCAGTTTAATGACAGGCAATAGAGAGGTAATTAAACTCTTAGTATGTAATTGTTTTTGGGTGTTTAATTTTTTAAAGAAATTTGTAATAAGTCTTAAGATTTTCCAATTTTGGTGAATTATTGTGATTCTTGACCGGACTCGTCTTACTGTTTTGAATTTTGTTTCTGTTAATTACATGAGCTTTCTATAGCAACATAATAAGCAGTCATTATTTGTTGATATCTGGCTGTAGTTAAAAATGTGTTGCATCAAAAAATGAGGTTTGGGACATTTAAAATAGAAGAATGTTTGAGGGGGGGCTCTCCGAGATGTAAAACAAAACCGAACTGGTGTTTTCCTTTAATGGCTGCAACTAACATCTCTGCCAAGCTGCAAGCTAACAGCTGCTGTCGACACCTCTGAGGTAAGACTGACCCATTTCCACTAATCCGTGCAAACCTTTCTGTCTGTTCACATCTGTTCCCACCTTGGCTCTGAATGCTTTCCCCCCTTGTTTCCACAGACCTGTTGAGTCTGTCTAAACTCCCTGAATCTTACCTTAATTAATACTAACAAGAATCTAAACTGCTCGTCCCTCGCCTGCTGTAAACATTTGAGTCCGCAGCTGCAACTAAGTTGTGGAAACAAGGTTATTAATGTTGTTGTAGCAGAGCTGTTAGTCTTGTCTGTCCTATGACTTGCTCAGAGTAGAGTTTGTTTGGTGGCCTTGTGCTGGTTCATCATCGTTGGGTCATTCTCATTGATCGGTGGTGTACAAATCTGAGAGCTGGTTCATCAGTCATATTGATGTGAAACTGCTAGCTGATATTCTGGTAGCTACGTAAATGTCCAGCTGTGCTCCCAGACTTTTATCCACTCATGTTAGTTCACATGTTATTCTCCTGTCTCTGCTGTCCTGTACAGATCTCCAAGGGGAGAGTAATGGGTACTCTGTGCTCGAGGAGGGTGTAGAAACTGAAGATCTTGAAGGAAATGCACTGAACGATGATAGCTCCGAGCACTCCAGTGATGAAGATGAACAGAAAGAAGCTCATAAGTTGGAGCTACAGGATGGAGGAGCAGTTGAGAGTGATGTCACTGCCCATGACTGCAGTGGCTCTAGACCTCTGCTGATGGACTCTGATGAGGACGAGCACAGACCTCAGCTGGCACTACAGTCATCACTGCACCCCAACACATTACCAGTACAATCGTCCGCCACCTTCCCCCAACCTACACCAAGCACCTTTGGTCACAGTCAGTCCTGGCATGTATCCGAGCCAGCAAAGGGGACAGATGTCACTCCAGATGTCTTCTCTAAAGCTCCTTTTCCAACTGCACAAGAGGACTCCGTGGATGTTTTTGCCAATGCTCCATTTCTGCGTGCCCCGCTTGCAGCTCAGCAGCAGCCCGACGTGTTCTCACAGGCTCCCTTTGGGAAAAGGAAGGAACACACAGCAGCACAACCGAAGACCTCGTACTCCCAAGCAGCTCAGAGTCTAACTGATCAGGGAGTGCTGGCACAAATGGTCCAACAACCGTTCCGGCCTCAAGCTCTATCCAAATACTCCAGACACTTTGAGGGGTCCGTGCTGCAGCAGCAGGGTGCAGCTCACAGAGCTGCGTCCGATGTGAGCAGGCAGGCTGCTGTGGCAGCAGTTCCTGCTGGACCGCTTCACTCCTGGACCTCTGAAGTAAACACTGTAGACCCCTTCATCTCTGCACCCTTTAACCTAAAAGCGCCACAAGAAAAACCTTGAAGTCAGAAAACCAAGTAGAGGAAATCTGCAACACTGAATTATGCAAACTACATCAGACGTCCTGCATGCTGTCTCCAGCACTGCAGCTGGACTGCAGACCCGCAAACATCTCATCCTAGATTAGATCTAGTAGTGGAAGGTCATCATTCCTACCGTATTAGACCTTTTTTTATGTTTTGCCTCCAAACTTTGAGTTACATTTAATCATTCTGATGTAGATCCTCACAAATACAATGTGGTGGTGAAGCATTTGTTTTTCTGTCTACCTCAGTTATTTTATTTGAGGACATTTGCACAGTAAATTGGCTGAAGCTTTAACACAACTACAACCTGTACATTTATTGCCTCATTCTTCCATCACTCTCAGGAAGGAAACACATTGGCATCACTGAAGACAGAAAAACTGTATAAAACTACTAGAGGATAAAATCATGTTATTTAGGTTTAATGATGCAAAATCATGTGCAAGTCTGTAGATTTGGTCCCTTAGTTTTGACAAATAGATGCTGGGTAAGAGTGAAATACTTTAGACATTTCAAGATAACATTTATTGACATGAAATATAACATTTCTATTCCCAGCTTGGATTTTTTTTTTTTTTTTTTTTCATGGCTGTCTTGTTTATGGTCACGGTCCTATAAAAATGGATTTCCTGTTTATTTCATCTGTCTGGATCGTGTGTATTTGTTGGACCAGAAAATTCACGGAATTAGGTTCTATGTGATGTCAAAGAAAGAATATAGATTTTTTTTTTTTTTATTCCTTTCACGATCAATCCTGCTATTTGTGTCTTTTTAATAAAACCGCTGCATGTCCAACCATTAACTGCACATGGTTTCACCACCAGATACTTCAGTCTGCAGTTCACTCAACCAGCGCCATGATCTGTTTTTAACACGTTTGATTTCCAGAACGTCTCTTTACTGAACAAGTGAAGGTAACATTTCTGACTCGTAGCTACTGATGTTCCAGCCACAGGCTGTGTGAGATCAAAAACACATCTTTTGGATTTATTTCCATCAATTGGACATGGTTTCTGAACACTAACTGGTTCTCACTTTTACAACAGAGGATCTAGACTGTTTCAACCCAAAGCTTAAACTGACTTTTTTTGTTGTTGTTATTGTTGTTTAACAGTTTTTTAATTTTTTTTTTTTTTAAATAAACCTGAATGTTCCTCACCCAGCCTGCACATATGAAGATTGCACAGTCACCAACAAAGAGTCGGGTCTCTTAAAGAATGTGTGTTGTCAGCTGTAAAGATGCATTTTAAGTGCTGTTTGACAGAAAACAAAGAACTGAAGGAACAGCAGAGGATGCTGTTGGACAATAAAAGCACTCCAAACGCTTGTTCTGCTGCACGGCCTGCCTTTGAAAAGAATGTTGTACACGAACCCAATAAATGAATGTAAATCCAATTTTCCACAGGCTGTGCAATTTTTTTGTTTAAAAATCTTCATATCATGCACATTGTATTCTGTTACACCTTACTGTAGTTTAAATTGATTGTTACCTGGGCAGGTGATACTGTCAAGTACAGAAACACAAAAGAAGTCCAGTTTCTTTAATGCAAATACTTTGAATTGTTCCATCCTGGTTGACAGAATCTACACCAACGAGCTCATTGGTCTGAAATGTAACCCAAACTACAACGAACATCCAAAGAGTTGAAATGCCCCAAACTACATAAATAGGACTGTTCACAAACCTTGAGTGTAAACTTTTACTTTTTATTTATTTTTCCCCTAGCTGCCAGATTTTCTGTCTGGTCAAGTGGCCGTAATATTGCTTCAGGCTTTTTGAATGTCTTTAAAATACATTTTGGCTGCCGTTTTATGAATTTTCATCCCAGTACCCGACTATTACTTTATGTTAATGTGTTAAGCCACTTAACTCCGACGTATGAATCATTCAGGCATAGAAAGGCTCATAAACTCAAAGGATAAACCAGTGTTGTCTAAATTTAATAAACAACAACAACAAACGTATATGAGAGACTGCAACAAAGTGAACGTTCTGTACACATTCTGCTGGCTTCCTTAGATGAATAACTTTTACTGTTTTTTATAATGTATGTGAATGTTTCTGTTCAGTTCCCTGAGACAAGTTCTGTTGTGTCGTGGTGCTATATAAATAAACTGAACGTAGGCAATTTGTTACCAGCAGCATGACACCATTGTGTAATGTGTCCAATTTAGTTGAATTTATGAAAAACATGAATGATGACACACGCAAACATTTATGTATGTCGTCTCCCATACAAACCAGTCTGTTTGTGTCTCTTTCCCGTCCTCTCTGACCCCAGCCAGTCGAGGCCGATGGTCACCTGATCCTGCTGAAAGGTTCTTCCTGTTAAAAGGGAGTATTTCCACTGTTGCTATGGTGCTGCTCAGAATGGGAGATTACAACAAAGTAAAGATTCAATGCATTCTACTGGCTTGTTTAGATCACTTTTACTAATAAGCATTTTTTAATGCGTGTATACACATGCATTAAAAAATGCATTATATTACAGTGCTGCGAGATGGATTTTGGCATGAATTGGTGTTATATAAATAGAGTAATTTGAAACATTTCTTAAACATGTAACTTTCAGATTATGTTCATCTGCTTTAGATATTTTTAAACCAGATTTTTCTTCTTTTGTCTGCCACTTAATTTTCTAAATTTTAAAGCATGTGGCACAGTATTCTGACATACAGTAGGTGTGAAGATGGGACAGAAACTAAGTAGAAAAAACCTGCCAAAATCTTTTGTTTTTCATTAAAGGCTGACAAAATATTGACCTTGACCATTTTAAAACGAGTACAGGATGGTTTGGTTCACAGAAAGCAAAATATTATTAAAGTTGTTGAGGGTTTAAAGCGCGTGTATTAAACTCAAGCCCCGTGGACTAAATCTGGCCCTTGTTAACATTTTATCTGGGTCCCCAAGATGATATTTTAAATGTAAAGTGTTTTTTTATGCATTCTCATGTTGACTATGATAACTTAGTGCAGACATATTTGTTTGATTTTACAATAATCTTTGATTCTGATGTGGAAAGAGCAACAAAGAACATCAAATGAGACAAACTGATGAACCTGCAACCAAGAAATGATGTCAGATATCTGACTTGAGTTTATGGATTGGCTGAAACTGGTCCGTGGCTTGCAGCAAGTTTTTACTTTTAGCCCCCATTTAATACCTGTGTTTGACACCCACTGGGTAAAGAGGATGGATGGATGGATGGATGGATGGATGGATGGATGGATGGATGGAGCCTGTGCACTGTCCTGCAGTGTTGGTCTGTATAAAACTTGTCGCTAGGGGGCGATAACACACAATCATACCGGAAGTGAATTACCGTAAATTCGAGGAAAAGTAGAAGAAGAAGCGACGGCGAGGTTTTTATTTGTTGAGAAAAAAATCGGTCAAATAATGCGTTAAAAGAGGTGAGTCCTGATTTAACCATACGAAGCTCTGTTTTCTAGGTACAAAGTTTGTTTTATGTGTGAGTTTTCTCCTTCGTTTGTTCTGCGTGTCCCGCTGCGTAATGTTCTCATGATGAACATCCTCCTCTGGTTTTCTGTGCCCAAACCATTAAAAACAAACTAAAACTGTGGTTTGAACTTAAACAGGTGTGTTTTTCTGGACATCCTCGTCATGGCTAATCAGAGGGTGCTCCCTCAGAGCAAAGAGTCTCTGCTGCAGAACTACAACAAGAGGCTGAAAGATGACATCAAGTCCATCATGGACAACTTCACAGAAATCATCAAAACAGCCAAAGTAAACATGAACACCTCCTCCTCCTCAGCAACATCACTCTCGTTGTGTTCATCTTTGGGAACGTCCTGCTCACAGCTGGCTGTTCTTTCTTTATCCAGATAGAAGATGAGACTCAGGTTTCTCGACCGACCCAAGCAGAGCAGGACCATTATGAGATGCACGTGAGAGCTGCCAACATTGTAAGTGTGACAGAATCAGCTTCACCTGCCTTGTATCGACTCGTCATCTTACAGGTTGACTGAGGACAGGGAGCACAGGGGGAGATGGTCACACTGGCACTGCTTCCCTTGTAGGACAAGTTGTTTTTCTTACGGCACCACTGAGACCCAGCACTCACTCAATGAATGCACATCACCCATTTCATGCCAGAGTGTTAAACTAAGATCATCTGGGAAGTAGTGGTGCAGAGATTAGCAAAGTTGAGCTTGTGGTCGGAAGGTTGCCGGGTTGAATGAATCCCCAGGCTGACAACAAAAGTGTGGATGGGAAATGTGAATCACCTCCAGGCCTTTGAGCAAGGCCCTTAACCGTCCCAGCTGCACCTTGGATGACAGCGCTCCGCTCCACACAGAGGGCTGCGGTAGCTCGGTGGTCTGTGGTTGTCAGGAAGGACATCGGACCTAAAATCAAAAGCTAAATCTTTGTGCGAGTTAGCTCGCTGTGGTGACTCCCTGAAGAAGGGAGCAGCTGAAGGGTAAAAAAATTATAATACAGTAGTCCCTTGTTTATCGTGGGGAATCCGTACCCTGAAGACCCGTGATAAGTGGAAAAACCGTGAAGCAGGTGTAGTACAAGTAGTAGGCGTTTTAAACCCTTCCCACACTCTTGAAATATTCTAAACAATGTTTCTAAACGCTCTAAAAGAGCACAGAATGTCATGATCTCAGCTCCCCCCTCATCTGCTCTTTGCCACCTGCAAGAGCGCTTGGCCACGCCCACTTCTCCGATCTCCATGGAGAACAGCTGATCAGCTGCAGCAGGAAGTTTATCCTGCAGTTAGGGCTGCACAAAGGTTCAGCAGGTGCTACATAATTTAAAGTAACATTCCATGCAGATCGTGCGGCTCATCCATCAATCAGCCATTTGTGTCGTGTCCAGTCTTATTTTGAAAAACCACGATGGAGCGAGTCCACAATGAACCACGAAGTATCGAGGGACTACTGTAATAATAACCAATCATCCATTGATAAGAATGGACAGTTATAGTAGTTTTGGTCTGACTCCAATCTTGTATATTTTTCAACATGTTGTAAATTGTTAGCACAGAGTCTGTGATGAGGATGAATCGACTAGTACCACTTTAAATTTTAGCTCTGTCTGTACATTTGATACTGTTTTTGTGCTTTCCCATGACTACCTGTGGCAGCCATCTTGAATTGGGTTGACTCAACTGTAGGTGTACATCCGCTGATTACTATAAGTTTCATTAAAATCCATCTACAGGTTATGAGATATTTTGCTGACAGACAAAATAACACAGACGTGGTCAAAAACAATCACACTTTTTCTCCTTCAGCAGCGAGTGATATCCATAACAGAAGTGGGGCCCTTTTCTGACTCATTTGGGTAAAAATACACAAAGCCTCAACAGAACTTTAAACAACTCTGAAAATATCAATAATAAGACTTTGTTTCACAAAAAGCAGCGTTATCATAAAACACATATTTTTGAGTGAATTCCACAAATTGTCATTTTACTGAGAATAATGGCATTTCAGAAGCCTAAATTGTTTCACTGTTTAGATTTTTTTCCTCTTTTTCATGGAAGTTCAAGGGAAATGTTTATTTGCGCATAAACAACTTAAACCGTGTTTTCTTGGTTTTGTAGTTTATTTAAAAAATCTCTTCAAAAAACAAAGTAGCAATTCGGCGTTCCTCATTTTCAAACCATCCGTTTTGATGTTTCAGGTTCGTGCCGGCGAGTCCCTCATGAAACTGGTCTCAGATCTGAAGCAGTTCCTGATTTTAAACGACTTCCCGTCCGTGAACGACGCCATCAGCCTCCAGAACCAGCAGCTCCGCGCGCTGCAGGAGGAGTGCGACAAGAAGCTCACGTCGCTGCGGGACGAGATCGCCATGGACCTCTACGAGCTAGAGGAAGAGTATTACTCCTCCAGGTACAAATAATAGGCGCTCATCCATCCCACCGCACTTTGTTGTCGCACGCCCAGCGGTGTTTCACCTTTAATCTTTTCACGAGGACGGGCTCAGCTCCCACGTCTCCATCTGACAATATTTTAGTTTGAACATATCAAACGGAGCTCATCAGCTCAGTCCTTCTCTGAGGGTCAGTGAGCCTGATTTCACCACGTGCCTTCACATTTTTATAGTTCCACCAAGTGACCTTTGTTTGTTTGTTTGTCTATAATTGAACAAACACTAAATATCTGCTGCATCAGCATTTTCAGCTCTGACTCCCAAGTTGACCCATATTTTAAGAATCCAGTGAAGTTTCTGTACTATAGGAACACATTTTATGTCTCAGAACCAAAGGCTTGGTGTTTATTTACTGCAGGATTTTTTGTTTGTTTGTTTTTGTTTGTTAATTCTAAATGAGAACCAGGACATGTTATGCTCTGCAGCATCTGTTGAACTTTTAATGAACATCCGTATGGTTTAATTAAATGAAACGACAACAAAAAGATCCCATCTTGTCTGTTTACTAGAATATTTTCAATGCAATAAATTTCTATGATTTTTAAATATGCAACTGCTTGTTTTTATATATTAATAATTTGTTACATGATAAGAGTTTTGTTTCGGGGAAAAAACAATGGAAGAACTGTAACAATGAGATTTTTTTTTTTTTTGCTTCAACTTAGAAAATATTGATATGCTTTAATTAAATCCTCAATATTAAAATAATTTTAGATTTTAAATATTAGACCTACCGTAATTTTCTGTTTTTACTTGTTGGAATCAAATCTAAAACTAATTAGATGTACAGTATAATCTGTCAGATTAAATCAGGAGGTGTAATGTTTTTAAATCTAGTCTGTAACCAAAGACGGGGCCCACACGTGCTGCAGTTTTAGATTTGTCCCATAAACTCAGGATGGTTGAGAAATAAAGCAGAGACGAAACGCTGCAGTAGTTTGTGTTTTCTTTAAAGGGGGTGTTAAATGGTTTCTCGTGTTTGGAGCATGCTGGGTCTGCCTTTCTCACTGCCCTTACACTGCTATTTCCATCGGCAACTAATTTCAGCCTTCTGCTGATCTCAGAAGTTCTAAAATGTTCTAAATCCTAAAACAAAGTGTTTTAATGTGATCAGTTTCCTATGCTTCTGCACAACTTCCATGCTTCTAACAAATGTGTGCTTTCCTGTGCTTTTCTCTGTGGACCAGTATTTTTTATTTCTGACCTTTCGCTCTCGTCTGCTTCTCTCCTTCCGCACTGCGCTGATTCTTTGCCTCCTGCTGGTTTCTGCTCCACAAAGCTACAGTCAGTGGGACAGCAATGACCTGCCTCTGTGCGAGGCCTACCGCCGCAGGGACAGCTGGGCCTCCAGAGACAGCAGCGGCAGTTCGACGCAGGAGGACCGAGAGGACGTGGACGGGACGCCGTCGCAGGAGACGAACCCCCAGCATCACCTCAACGGACATGGGACGTCCACAGAGAAACCATGAGGGGAAAGGACACAATGGACTCCCAGTTCCCATTTCACCAGTTGACCAAAACTTTACCAAACTAATGCATCTGGAAGCAAAATCTAAAAATAAAAATGAGAATATTTGCATTAAAAAGGGAACTCTTGGTAACATCCCTCCCCCTACAATTACATTATTAAATTTACCTTGAAGCAATTATTGGGTAATAACGTACTACTATAAAGATGTAATGTTGGTTTCTATATAGTCCTTTTTTTTTACTGTCAGACTTGGCTTTTGTTACACGTGTTTTGTTATGGTCATCTACAACAAAATAAACACAATATACTTGTTTTTAATCAAACTTATTTTGCTAAAAGCCATAATTCAAATGTACTGATAAAGTCGGTGCCAAAAAATTCAGTAAAGAATTAGTCCATCAGTTTTACATCGGATCAGTCGGGGGATAACATTTTGATGTTTTGGGTATTTAAAATTACAGCTGAATCGTTGCAGAAATCACATTTCTACTTGGATACGTGGTTTGTTTTGTTCTTGCTGTTTTTCCTGCAGTTAGAAAGACGGTCCTTTTGTGGGCTGCAGTAGCTCGGTGATCTGTGCCACGGTTTTGCAATCCTGAGGTTGCAGGTTTGAACCCAGGTTGCATCAGGAAGGGCATCCGGCATAAAACAAATCGCCTAATCTTTCATACGAGTTCGCTCGCTGTGGTGACCTTCGAAGAGCAGCCGAAAGAAACTTACATTATCCATCAACGATTACATAAATGATCTAAAAAGATGTATAGTAGCAAACTTTAATTATGCATGATAAATTAAGAGCTTACAGTGAGGCCTCAAGCCTTTTAATTATCAAATTTATTTAAGGAACAGAAACGTTTAACAAATTTATAGCTTGAATTACTAATTTTGGTCATGGGAAATGTTTTGCAAATAATTGAATCCATAAGCTCCTTGGACATTTTGCTCTTTAAACTTACAATTAGCCAAGAAACAAATATATAAAAAATACATTTTACTATTGAATCAAGTAGACCTAAGAAGCAAACGGTTCTTTTTGTTTTCACTATTGTTAAGTTAGAGCTGACACACAGCAGAGCTCTCTGGCTGATACATCACTCTTTACTGAGCACTTCCTGCTTTCTTTGATACATCTTTATCACGTGATGTATTCAGCTGAGTAACTCTAGCACATTACATATTACTGTTTGGAGGCTTTGTACAATAATTACAGGATCCGACATGATTGTGCCATTATTGGCTTTAGGTCAACCAGTTCTCACACAGTCACTGTGACTCAAACTAGATGGAACCACGTGTACTGTAATTCCAAAACCAACGCAGCTCAGTATCTTCGGTTCATCTTCTTAAACTTCTCATAGTGGTAGTCGTCTGTGGCCTTCTCGTTGTTTGGGCGTTTGCGGGGGTTTGGTGGTGATGGAGCTACGGGTTAAAAAAGGGAAGGATTCGTTATTTTTATTTACCTTTTTTAGAAATAAAGTAATAACATTTACATGATTTAATGGGGAGGGTGGGGATTAAAAGCTGAGTCAGACCTTCTGGGCCTGGTTTCTCCGTGTCGCCCACACGCAGTGGTCTCGCTTTGGGCTCCTCCTTGTGTCTGTGGTGTCTCTGTGGTGCATTTGCATCCTCATGATAGACTAGAAAGAAAAAAAAAAGAAGCGGCGTTTACAGACCTCGCTGGATTAAAGCTTGCCGTTTACACCCACAACACGTTTAAAGTGAACTCACAGCGATTGTGTTGGACGTAATTAACAGCGATGTTTGTTGGAACAAACGATGTGCCGAGGTCTTTTTTCTTGTTCCTTTGTTCTGCCAGAAGCTTGGCTTTGGCCTCCTCTGTCTGGATAATGTTTTTGATTTTTGCACTGGGACAAAAGACACAAATGGGTTACTCGAATATTTAAAAAATGAGCATGAACCGAATTATTAAAGAATCTCTGCACATACTCGATTCCAAGATCAACCTCTGGGATCCCGCTCAGCATCTGATTGGACAGCATCTCCTCTGTTTTCTTGGCAGAGTTGACTCGGATGTTTTCTGGCAGTTCGTACAGGTGGTCCTCCGCATTTTTCACTTTCACTTTTTGCTCCTCGGCCTCCACCATGCCTTTCTTCTTTTTTAACTCGGTCTCTATGTACTTCATCCTGTGATGAAGGCAGTTATTCCATCATTATTTCCATACACGCTTAAATGCATTTATGTTATTTGATGAGCTATAACTGAGCAAAAATAATCAACATGAAATGGCCGACAAACAATCCCTGACAGCCACACTGAGTAACTCAATGTGGAAAATATTCCCACGTAGACATTTAAAAATGTAAATAAACCCACTAAAAAACAAAAGAGACGCTAAATATAAGATTCTGGATTGATTTCCATCTATTTGCCTATGATTCTTTTTTGTTTTTTCCATTTCTTGATTAGTAGTTTATACAGCTTTTGGTGCATACAGGCTACTCCGTTCTTTAAAAACACTGCTCCAGAATTGCCTTGCATAGTGAAATCAAAAGGTGACATGCTTCCATAATGCGTGTCCAGCAACAGTTGAAAAGAAACTCAAACAAAAGCTGTCTTTGCACCGTTAGCCGACTCGGTGGTCAACAAGAGCAGCAGGTAACTTCAAGATTTGGAGCAGAAAACATTTTGCTGTAGAGTAATGGATATCAGGGAACACCTACTGTCAACATCTGAAGTTGCTTCAAGGATTAAAAACAAGTAAACAGAAGTTGTACTTCTTTTGTAAATACAGCTCAGTTACTTTTGAACTAAACTGTTTTAAAGCTTTCTTATTGATGGAAATTCAACTGTAATAGTTGCTGTCTATATGAATGAAACTATCTGGAGGGAATCAATTGAATTCCTTCTATTTAGAAAAAAAAACAGCCGACTGTAAATTCTCAGGGAAAACACATTGCACAACACTGATGTCAGTGAAGCTTGCAGTCAATTATGTTTAGTCACAAATAAATTATTTCCATCTGATGAAGCCGAAGGATAGGAAATGCAACACTTGAGCTTGCTGCAGTGCAGCTGCTTTGATCCAGTAAAGTTTTAACTCCTTATGGTTCTGACAGCTCAGTGTTGAGCCATCAGCTGTTTTCTAAACTATTACATCAGTGATATTATGAGAATATATGTATGCATGCAACATACTGTTGGAAAGCTGAGAATATGACAGTTTGATTGACATAAAGCATTTTGCAGCACAATCACGCCAAAATATACAGTTAACACCAGTAACAATCAAAATTGTGTCATTCTATTTTTAAAGCCTTGTGGTGATCAACAATCAAACTACTAAAGCTTCCAGATTCTGTTAATTGTGAGCCAATGAGACTTCCCTTCAGGAAAAATAAAAATTCTCCATTTATGCCATCTAAAACTGAATATAAAGGAGACTAACCGGTTTAAATAAAGTTTGAATGAATATATTCTATGATGCTCGTGAGGACTGATTCAACAAAAATCCAATACAGTTCTGAACACTAGGCTATAAATAAGCAACTTCCAATGAACCCATGCAGAACTGGAACTCTTGCAGATGACCGGCCCAACAGACTAAAGTCATTTCTGACAAGTATAAGTTTTCTAATTGTCTATAAATTTGATAATCATGAGCTAATAAGAATAGACATTGCAGCTGAGCATTTTTCAGTGTGGATAAAGCTACTGAGCTCTGCTTTGTTTTACTTTTTATCTTGAGTCAAATAATGGCAAGTGCATTCACAAGCTAAATATATTGTTTTGCCATTAACAAATAAAAGAACACTCAGAAGTCCATATTTTCTTCAAATTTCTACATTCTGTAAAAGTTGTTGTTTATTACTGTGTGGTGTTATGACAATTACTCATAAATCTCTCACAAACTCTGCATTCCTATAGACAAGCTTCTGCCAGCATTGAGGCTACTGACATAAATGCCCCAGAGCTCGCCTTGAAAACAAAAGCGCTGCAAAAATCAGCTTTCACCTAAAAACAAATGATTTAGATTTTAATGCAGAACGATTCATATATGATTCTGAGGTACACATGAAATGCCCATGTGTGCTCTAGAACCAAATGGAAAAAAAAGTTTTGATTTTTTTTTTCTCCTTTGAAAGCCATCATTCTAAATTTATCTCCAAGACAAAATCACTAAGTCTTACTGGAACGGCTGAGGTGAGCTGGTCTGGGAAGCTCAGTCCTCACCTCCTTCTACAGGTGTGCAGTGGAGAGCATCCTGTGCTCCAGCATCAACGTGTGGCATGGAGGCTGCACAGCTGCAGAAAGAAAAGCTTTGCAGAGAGTGGTGAAGGCTGCACAGAAGACTGTTGGAGTCAGCCTCCCCACCATCACAGACATCTACACCTCCAGATGCAGGAAGAGGGCCTCATGCATCATGAAGGACCCCACTCACCCAGCACACACTTTTTGCCTCACTCCCCTCAGGCAGGAGGTTAAGGAGCATTAAATGTAGAACCACTAGACTGAGGAACAGCTTCCACCCTGAGGCTGTTAGACTCATGAATCTCTAACCAGAATAATCACTGTGTTGATAATCACATGCTGATGATTTATTTCATGCTGCTGTGTTCATTCGTACTCATCTGCTCACACAGACTTATGTTCGTGCTGCTGTTTGGTGTATTGTTTTTGTACTATTAGTGCTTAGCATATTTTAGTTAATCTTTGTCTTAGTTCATATATTAGATCTTATTAATGTTTTTCTTTTACATTTTATAGTTTTGTTGGATGTAACTGGGAGCCGGTGTACACTTTCGTTCCACCACATGTGGTGGGAATGACTAATAAAGAAATTTAGACTTTGAACTGAGATGAACAACTGTTTCAACAGGATAGAACAATGCTTTAAGTCCAGATGACCTGACAGAAAAATGTTAGATTTTATACCTGGATTATTGAGCATGGACTTTGTTGTTAACAATGCTTTATGTACTTTCAAAATAGGAGTTTTAGGCACATTTTTCCCATAATGAAAAATTGTGCAATGTAACTAAACTGGTTCAGATGTGGTCAGTTAATATATTTTTACCCAAATACATCTTAATGTACTAACCTAAGTGAGTAATTGGGGGGGGGGGGGGGGGGAGAAGACAACCAAACATAACCAGAAAACACAATAGTGTGGCAAACCAATGGTAATAGAAAGTGCAGCACTATTTAAACATTACAGAAAATCAGATCTTTATCTTGTGTTTTAACAGTTTAAAGATCCCTACATACATACACATGACAGCACATTGTCAACAGCTACATTTTTAAGGATGCGTTGTTTTATGAATGTTTGCATTGCAATAATGAAAGATTACTTACATGTCTGCATCCTCATCCCTTCTGTTAGTCTCAGCTGAAAATGACGTGCCCAGGTTGAGGTCTGTCTCGTCTTCTGTCCTGTATGTAGATCATTTTAAATCAATCACTCCAATCAGAGGACATGCACGTAAAACATACTAAAGCATGCAGTCTGGTAATTCCACCAAAACCTGGTTTACTTACATATCTCTATTCCTGTCCTTCACTTTCTTCATGTCTACCACCCCTCCAGTCTTCAGCTTGAAAGGATCATTCTGTAAAAAAGTATAATTTGAAGAAGCAGAAGCTGATAAGTTGCAACTTAAACACAAATATTCGTGGCTTAGAAATATTGCTTACATCAATTTCAGCTTCTGGCGGAAGTTTTTCTCCAACCAATAAGGCAGTCACGCTGAACACAAGAGAAATAGAAATGTTTACAGTACTCACACAATGTGTGTTTGGATTATTGTTAAGAAATACATATTTGTGCTACTATTCGAACCTGACTCCTTTTTGTCGTTTCCTTAAACTCTGAAGCTCTTTGGCCTCTTCCATTTTCATTCTAAAAATGAATATAAACAAATAATAAATAAAACTCATGGGTTAGAAATGTTACCAAATTATGGCTTAAAATGTAATAACGTGGGTAATTTCCACGGTACTTTCATGCACGGCTAGCTCTGCTAGCTGGCTAACACAACGTGACACTAGACAATATTTTTATTTGAGTAATTTACCGGACTTCTTCCGTCGTCTCATCCGCATCTTCTTCGTCTGAAGATTCCTTTCTTCTTCTGAAACGTTTACCACACGGCATTTTTTTAAATATAATTTTACTGATAGCTTTGTTCCAGATAAACACTGGGTTACATAAATTATCGCGGTTGTTGTTTTGGGAGACTCTTTAACCGACGTACAATAATAATACGTCATTTCCGGACTTTCAGGAAGTACTTCTGTCCTGCGTAGGTTTTCAATAACAATCATGGCGACTTATAGACAGGTTGGGAGGTTGTTGAGGATTTCTGCAAGACTTTCACGACCGTACGTGTATTCGTTAGAAAGTTGTGAGCTTGTGCAGCTTTTAAGTTATAATTCTTAAGGTTGATCTTAATGTTTATTCTTAATGTTTATGTAAACTGTGGAGTGACGCAGAAGAAGTGTGGTCTTACTGTGTTTTCTTAATTTAACGCGTTTTAAATTGGCTTTCTTTGTCCCTTGTTTGCTTCGCAAACTAAAGTCAAGATAGTGTGCAGAGATAAACACAAGTCCGGTGTAGCAGGCGCCTCTTTTTAATCGTTGCTTTTCCAACTTGTGGTTTTAACCCATACAGCAAATTCTTGATTAACTAGTGTCATAATTCTGATGAAGTTTTCAATATTATATACTTTTAGACGAAAGAACCTTTTGGTTAATCAAAATTATTTCTAAAATATAATAACTTAAGTGTCTCCTATGAACCATATTAATGTCATTATCAATCCAAACAAATAAGTCACCAGGGTATTATACAGAAATCTTGACTTATACTCGACTTACTTATTTAGAGGTAAAACATATTATTTTTAATTCTAAAATTGCATCTTGTTTTCCTGCACATTTGCATCTTCTGTGTTCTTCAATTATAGCTTTTATTTTTTGGAAGGTATGACCATGAACAGGTCTGAACACACTGCTGTAAACAGTAATTTATCATCATTACTCATTATTAGATTGTACGGCAATAAAAAAGGTTGAATCATGTCATCTGGACTTCGTTTTTTTGTTAAAAAAGAAACGTTTCGCCCCTCGTCCAAGAGGCTTCGTCAGTCTGAGGCCTAGCCATCTGGTATTACCCAGAAGCCACCCTGACTCTTGTGTTTCAAGCCTGCCTCAGATACCCCTGAAGTCTGGCCTTTTCACTAATGGTTTCAAAAACACAAAGTTTGTTTTCTCAGTCATCCAGGTATATAACAA